TGCTAGTTCATTAATCCTGGCGGACCTGATCAATGCACGATGTTTCTTCATTATAATACTAGACGATAGCTCACATGTTGTTACAGAAATGTTTTGTAATATATTTTAACGAGATTTTGTTGTATGGAACATGAATATTTTAAGTAATGATATAAGAGTTGAAAATGAAAATACTTATGACTTATTATGATTGATTATTGTGCAGTTGTAAAATATTAATTAAATATAAATAGTGTAATAGTGTGAAGATTATCATGCAAGTTTACATTGTGATGATCTTTTTTCTAGGTGTTGTTGCATGTTACGCTGGGCCTTTTTCATACATTTTGCATGTTGTGGCCAGGGCCGGTCCTGAGATTTTGGGGGCCCGGGGCGAAACTACAATCCCGGGTCCTTCGGGGCCTTTAATATAAATGTCTAATTGGTAATCATCATATGTAGATATAATTTTTATCAAAGAAAATAATTAAGTGCATACAAAATGATTGTGCATATCACATAATGTGTTACATATTGCCTTCGAAAATTTCTCCTAACATTCTGAGATGCAGAATCGCTAATGATAGTATCAATATCAATTTCATCAAGCAATTTTTTCTCAATGCATAAAGTTGCCAAGCTATTTAACCTCTCTTGCGACATTGTAGATCTCAGGTAGTTCTTCAACAATTTTAACTTTGAAAAACTTTCTTTCACAAGCATAGTAAAGAAAATCCGAAATGGAATAGAAATAAATATGAGCTCATGATCACTCGCATTGCTATCATCCATGTTGACGTCAACATTGCCTTCTATAGGAGTATGACCATCATCTTCCTGATTGACATTAGTTTTTGGTCACCCACAAGAACTATCGCCAACTATTCTGAATTTCTTGGAGTGCTTGTATCGCTCTCTTAATATTTAAAAAGAGATCCTCTCAATTCTTCTATCTCCTCATCCGCCTCCTTCTACCTGAACTCGACATGACCCCAGCTGAAATTGAAAGGAACAAATTAGCGCAAAGCTAATTAAAATATTGTATAGAAAATCATCTAACGAATGATAATCTGCTTGGGCATAGTGTAGTACCTTCTCTCGGTAATCTAATCTCGTTACCTGTGCGTAATGATTTGAGCGCCCTAACAATAATTCCCTGTTAACCGAGGAATTGAATCTTTTACCCTAACAACAAGCCTGGGCAAATCATCAAACCCCAACGTAGGAACAGCACAACAACCAAAAGGGCGGGCAGGGAAAGACCCATCCGAAGTTACAGGGAATCATGTTTAGTTTTTTTGAAGGAAAGAAATCGTGATTAGCCAATCAAACCATTCCTTTTTCTCTCCGGTCTCCACGTGCATGCATGTACCAGGAGGCCCACCATATCTTTTTTAATTTCCTAGGCTAGCACGCGAGTAGCTTAGCGAGGCGCTGAGATTGACTCCAATTTTTTTTCCACTCTAAGACCTGTATGCCTC